TACTACATTAGCTTGCAAATAATAAGATATTCAATGCATAAGAAGTTGTTCATTCTTGTTCGAGAACTTAGTAAACACTTGTAACATTATTTATAAATTACAACTACTGTTAGTAAAACAATGAATTGGTGGGTCCTTAACAGGATACATTGACCTTGTTTACGCAATAACGCTAAAACTTTTTCGTACTTTCGCAGTTTTTTTAATTTGATTGCATTACGGTCCAGATGTCCAGAGACACTTTGAATGTTGAATTTTCAGTCCCAAGCACTTTGCGTCTTCTTAAAATATCGATGCAGCCAACTAACTGCCAAAATCCCGACATACCCTCGACTATTAAGGGACTTGTCTACATCGATGCTCGCGTATGGCTTTCACATCTTTGCCGATAAGCTTTTTGTTTCGCAGCGCTTTGCATCTCGCAATCGTAATAATAACATAACGCCCGGTCGGCGTCTTTGCGTCGGTATATTTCGAGATTCGCCGATGGCTGCTGAGACTTCACACACATGGGCGCACACGCACACGCACACGTGGCACCCGATGTACCATTCTATATTTATCTTCCACTCTGCTGAGCCTAAGGCCTGGACTTTTCTAAGATCTCGAGTTCGACTCCGCGACGGTGTCGACGAGACTCGAGTGCAAAGATAAGCGAGCTGTTATCTCATTTGTCAGACACGATATATTTCTTCGTATTGACGGCGCTGATGTATTGCTGTCTTCGATAATTGACTTTGCTGGGAGGAATTATTAATTCCTAAGTGATTGTTCCGTTAACATCAGCTGCAGTGAATGCGTTGAATAAATATTTACTTGAATCGAGATTACATTCACTCTACAATTCATAATACTGTAGAAATTAAGTAGTGTTGTTTCACTTAAGATAAATATACTTTTCAACAGCATATGCATCAAGTGCTATTGAAAGAAATATTTGAACTAGTCTAGTTTCCCATCTGTATTTTTTCAAGAGATACACAGTAGAAAACATTAGTTAATTAATTAAGTGAGAGTTTCATTGTGATTATTATTTCAGTGAACAATCAAGGAAGTCACGAACAGGTGCTGTAGCGTTTTATAATTTTAAAAGGATGCTTTTATTTATTGAAATTCTTGACAAAAAACTTTATCTCTGAACAATCTAAATAATATAGGAATTAAATTGACGAGATGATGACTATAGAATAAGCCGAAATTCATTAGTGGATTTAAAATGTAATTATACAGTTATTATTTATATAAGTAATAAATCAATTTAATTTCTTATAAATACGCAGGTCATGTATTCTAATAGTGTACACAATCATCTTTATGTAATGTTCTTTTCATATTTCAATTTCGTTAAAACAGAGCGACATTTCAATAAACATCCAGCATGAGCATGTATGGAAGTATTAATAAAATTAAAATCTTTATATTTTGTAAATAAACACGTATAAGCCTATTAAAAAGTATATTTTTGTGTGTGTGTGTGTGTGTGTGTGTGTGTGTGTGTGTGTACAATTAATTTATAATACAATCCAAAACTAATATGTTTTAATCTTTCTCGACATCACATTTTAGGTATGTTGATAAATTGATCGACAATGGTAAAATCGGTAGAGAATAAGGGATTTATTTAATAATCGTAATATTAAAGAAAATGTAATTCTAGCCACGAGACGATGTCTCATTAATTTTTAACATTGATCGGTATGTTTTTCATAATTTGACTATAATATCCCCATTCAAAGTCAAATATGTAATATATTGAAATTTCTACCTAGAAGCTAAAAAAAGAAATAATAATAATAAAATAAAATAAGCACACATGTATTTAATGGTCAAGTCACGAAGATTTATATTTTCAGAGCCACGCCTATGGAAATTCGTAATCCTATTCTAATATTCATCAAGCATATAATGCAGACATTTCAATTCCTAAAGTAACGCCTCTTATAAGAGATCTATTTGTGCGAATCACAATATCATCTCCACATAATGACAATTCTTTGCTGTCGTACAATGTAAATCAACGCATAAATTTCGAAGCGGCTAACATTTCTGTAACTCCCTTTTCCATTCGCACCCCCCCCCCCCCCCCCCCCCGAATCACAATATCATCTCCACATAATGACAATTCTTTGCTGTCGTACAATGTAAATCAACGCATAAATTTCGAAGCGGCTAACATTTCTGTAACTCCCTTTTCCATTCGCCCCCCCCCCCCCGCCACACTTCCCGAGGGACGATCTCAATGGCAAGATAGAATATTCGCTCATTCTCCGGTCGATCTTGCTGCACGACTGCATCCGAATCGCTTCTCGTATCATTATCGAGCGCCGATGATATGAGCCCTCGGTTGTCAAGATAATGACCGACACCAAGGTGGTGTGAAGGAAAATGCGGGGCTTGGCTGTGTACGATACTGACACCGACACGAGCAGCCCTCACACAACGTGCACCGGTACGCGTCGACGACGCCGGCGCACTAAGTTCGATCAATCCATTCCCGTACAGCCTATTACTCTCTCTCTCTCTCTCTCTCTCTCTCTGTCTCTCTGTCTCTCTGTCTCTCTGTCTCTCTGTCTGACTTTCGGTACTTGCGCGCGCCTCGTCTGCTGTCGCAGGCTTGCTCGTTTTCACCACGTCTTGGACGCGTGCAGAAGGATCCCAAGGTGTTGCGCGTTAATCCTAGCGCAGGAAGAGCACAAGATTACGAAAGCATGACGGAGTACTAGTGC